GAATTCATTGACAAGAACTTTGTTATTAGCAATAATCAGCATAGTTTTATGAAACATTTGTTAAACTAACCTAATTGCATTCTACGAAGAAGTAAGTAGAAGTATAGATCAGGGTGTTGCAGTGGATGCGATCTACTTGGATTTTGCAAAGGCATTTGATACGGTTCCTCACAATAGGTTAGTCTTCAAACTAAAAGAAATTGGTTTAGATGAATATTCTTGTTCTTTGGTAGAACATTGGCCTAAGGATAGAGTACAACGAGTTGTCATTAATAGTACATTTTCAGGCTGGACAAAAGTGGTGAGTGGTGTCCCTCAGGGTTCTGTTTTGGGACCGCTTCTATTTAACATATTTATAAATGATCTTGCAATAGGCATTCAAAGCCATGTTTTAGTGTTTGCAAATGACATAAAACTTTGTAAATTAATAAAATGTGAGCAGTTTATTGCTTTGCTGCAGAGGGATTTAGATAGATTGAGGGACTTTGCACTAAAATGGCAGATGAAATTTAACATAGAGAAATGCAAAGTTATGCACTTCGGGCTCAAGAATGCACAAGCAACGTACACCCTAAATAGTAGTGAATTAGGGATAACCACACACGAGAAAGATTTATGAATTGTTATAGACAACAAATTAGGCAGCAATATGCAATGTCTATCTGCAGTTGCTAAGGCCAGTAAGGTTTTCTCATGTATAAATAGGGGCATACATTCTCGGGATGAAAATATAATTTTGCCTCTTTATAAATCGCTGGTAAAACCACACCTTGAATATGCTGTGCAATTTTGGGCGCCTGTTCTAAAGAAGGATATCATGGCACTAGAAAAAGTGCAGAGACAAGCTACAAAATTGATAAAAGGAATGGAGCATTTTACAAAGAAAGATTAAAAAATTTAAATCTCTTTAGTTTGGAAAAACGGCACCTCAGAGGGGATATAACATTATACAAATATACTCGGGGCCAGTACAAACCATTATCTGGAAATCTATTCATAAACAGGGTAAATGATCCATAGGACACAAGGTCATACATTTAGGCTGGAAGAAAGGAGATTTCATCTAAGGCAAAGAAAAGTTTTTTTTTAAACCTTAAAAATAATAAGGATATGGAATTCTCTGCCTGAAGAGCTGGTTTTATCAGAGTCCATACAGATGTTTAATCGGCAATTGCATAAATACGTGCAAAAACATAAAATACAGGGATATAATTTCTAATTAGTTGAGTAATAGCTATATATATATATATACACACTACAGCAGCCCTCACACACACTGCACCCCTAACAGACATACTGCATCCCTAAACACATTACATTCCAGATACACACTAGATCCCTAACCCAACTGTCGATCATATACACACACTCGATCCCTATATACACTCTGAATCCGCTATATACACACACACACTCACTAGATCTCCTACACATATTCTGGGTCCTTCAGACACACACTAGACTCCTATACACACACACACACACACACACTACATTCCTAACATACACACTCTGGAACATTCCTACTACATTCCCTAAATACACACTCTCTACAACCCCTACAAACACTACATCACCAATACACACACACACACTATAGCCCGTGTGCACACTCTTGCTATATCCCTTATACACACACACACACAAACACACACTATAGCCCGTGTGCACACTCTTGCTATATCCCCTATACATACACTCTCTACAGCCCCTAGCCACATATGCATTACATTACACCACAAACACAACACGACTAAAACCAATCTTATTACACAATACCACACCACAATCAGCTCACTCTACACACACGCAATACCACAAGCAAGCTCCAAACACATGCACAATACTCTTATATCTCCTGGTATCCCATTTATAGAGACACCAGAGACAAGTTGCAAGGAAACACAGTGCAAGCATGTTATTAAATTTACTTGCACTGTGCAGAACAAATACAGGGCCTTTTTCTCTTGCTAGAGCTCTTCAGCAGAGCTCTGTGCATGGTCTTCCCTGGAAGAGAATTGAACCAACATGTTCACTTTAAGAGGGGGTGTGATTGTCATTGTTTGTCAAATGTTTTGACAACTTAGAACCAAAAAAAGACCTCTATTCCTACAGAGGAAGGGTGTTTTACTAAAAAGTTCTTGCAGTGCAAAAAGAATCTTAACGTTTAAATAGCAGCTCTACACTCTTGGTGGGATACCCTTCTCCCCACAAAACAGTTAACATACACTTTCTAATGGTATAGGGTATTGCTATACCTTCAGTGGAGAGCTAAAAGTGCAAAGAAAATGTGTAAGATTGAAAAAGAGGGGATAACATACCCCATGATAATATACTTATAAATAGCATATAGATATAGTGCAGATGGTAATGTTGGTAATGTCCAACAAAAATGTATTAATTCCATAAAATGGGTCACTCACGTGTAATGGAGCCTATATTACTATTGGCTCTGTATATAGGGCTGTTATGCTCTTAGGACAGCATTCCACCACTCTCTTGCATGAGTATTCCCTCACTTTTGTCTCCATTGGAGGGAATACACATGCAAGAGAGTGGTGGGATGCTGCCCTAAGTGCATAACAGCCTGTTATAAAGACCCAATAGTAATATAGGCTCCATTACATGTGAGTGACCCATTTTAAGGAATTAATACATTTTTGTTGGACATTACCATCTGCACTATATCTTGTTTTATTCTATTTGTATGTACTGGACATTGTCTGCTATTTATAAGTAAATTATCACGGGGTAAGTTATCCCCTTTTTTCTGTCTTACACATTTTTTTGCACTTTTAGCACTCCACTGAAGGTATAGGAATTGACTACTTACACTGGAAGGGGGGTGGGGGGTGGGGGAGAATTCCTGTCACCATAATCCCTACAGTGCACTGTAATAGTTGTGGTGTTTGGAGTGTTCCTTTCATTTCTTCACCATCACATTAATCCAGCCACCCGTCCATTTTCCGTTATAGAGCAAGATTCACTACTCACTATCATTCATCATAAATTACCATCTGCAGATTACGAACAAAACTAAACTAGCCCTTCTGTTAACATTACCAAGCATTATTTAAGTCATATTCCCACTTTCTTCACATATTACTCAGTTCCATCTGTAGATCATTTTAAATACATTTCTACGTATTTCACCCCACACTTCAATATGCCCAATTATTTAGTTTATAAGCTTATTTCGGTGCTTATCAGTCCCACATTTATTAGGAACACAGTATGAAAAGGCCACTTAATGAAATTATTAGAAAAGACAATGCATCAACTCTTATTGTATCTGCACATATACATGGAATCTGTATTTATTGAATGTTACCATATAATCAAAGTGTACAGTGTGGTATCAGTCCAACACAAAACAAGATGTCTTATCTAAAGGATTTCACTGTCTATTAAAATGGACATTTAAACCGCAATAACTGTGGGTCATATGTTTGGGTATCAAGTCTGTATATCACATAACTGATACCACACAGCAGCGGTTAGACTATAGTTAAATCCCTCTACCCAACTGAAAGATCACGGACGTGAAATTATAATTAAAATACCACAGGACGATTTGGACAATGCTTGATCTCTCAGATTATCTGCACCCAGACACACTAGTTAACAGCTTTACATTGGACAAGACCCACAGTACTCGAAGGCTTAAAACAGATCTTAGAACATTCCAGTGCTAAAGGGAGCTAGAGGTCTGAGCATCTAAGCAGGACATGCACATGTTACAGAGCCGCTTTCCCAAGTCCTTCGTGAAGGTGACATGTACCTACTGCAATCATAGCCATAGCTTCAGGTTCCTTCATCCATAGACTCCCTGCCATTATAGATTTTATTTCCCACTCCCCGTCTCTTACGCCTCTCCATTGTTCATCCATAGATTCAGACCACGTTCTAAGCAATGAGTGAAACATCCACCATATCTTTATACTACTAGTTAAATTATTGGGCCCTCCCATAAATTATAATAATAATAAAAAAAAGGTTTAACTCTCCATTATCCCTTGGACATGCCTGTCTCGCCATTGCTGCCACTCCTCCTCTGAATGAGATCATCAGTACTGATGATCTCAATCAATCCAATGCTTCTCCATAAGGTAGAATTGGTGGCTAGTTTGCATACGCGGCTCTATTGGGAGCAATTGGAGTCTGGGAGCAGGGAGACACTGAATGTCAGTCCTGAAATCTTTACAGGACTAAATCCTGGAAGCCTCTGTAGCAGCAGTCCAAGTGACTATCACTAGAGGTGGTGTTAGGCAGTACTGCCTTTTCTCAGAAAAAAACAGCATTTACACTGATAAACCTGCAAGGACAAAATGTGTCCCAGAATCACTACATGAAGCTGCAGTGGTTCTGGTGCCTAGCATGTCCCTAAAATGCATGCCTGAATGGACATTTAAGGCATTCTTCTGCAGGTCTGTGACCACCAAAAAGAATGATGTATTTAATTGCTTTTTGAACTGTTATACGCTTACCCACCTGCTGCCCCTCACTCCAGTTCTGCCACTTTTAGAGGTCCATGGTTATTATAGTGTTAGAACAGCCACCTTTCCACTATCACTCCCAACCTGCTGAAACTGGCCTTTACTGGGGATACTTCTACTAGCAGAGCAATCCTCCCTAATTATGTCAATATTTCAGCTTCACTGTCAACAAACTGGTTTTAGAACAGAGTGACATCAGTCAATATATTCCTCAGCAACCTTGAAGAGCTCTTTCTCCTGCTCTCTGTGACAGAGAGCAGAAGAACTGCTTGGAGGAGGGTTCTCCTGCACACCCCTGCCATTCAACCATCTCTATAGTCCTGTATGCCACTGGCAAAGAGGAATGCCGTAATTTGATTGACAAGTGCACAAGATTTTAAAGACTATGAAAATAATATCTATACATTTGTTAACATGGTTGCTTGCATATTGTATGTTTAAAATGTATTGCAAAGTGCACTTACTTTAACAGTGAAATTGTGATCACCTCTGCACTGTCATCAAGGGCAGAGCCAGCACGATTCAAACACAGCCCTGGCCAATCAGCATCTCCTCATAGAGATGAATTGAATCAATGAATCTCTATGAGGAAAGTTCAGTGTCTGCATGCAGAGGCAGGAGATACTGAATGTTTGGATACATTTTAGGCAGCCATGACCCAGGAAGGATCTCTAACAGCCATTGAGGAGTGGCCAGTGAAGTTATCACTAGGCTGTAATGTAAACACTGCATTTTCTCTGAAAAGACAGTGTTTACAGCAAAAAGCCTGAAGGTAATGATTCTACTCACCAGAACAAATTCAATAAGCTGTAGTTGTTCTGGTGACTATAGTGTCCCTTTAACATACTAACATGCAATTCTTACAGTTTAAACAGATTCCAAAACCTCTCCTCAGTTTATACTTTCTATAAGATTCTATGAAATTGTTATTTCCCTGGGTTAATACCTGGGGTAAGCATAGTAAAGGCGGGAATTACGAGGTCATAGAATTAAAACAGCCCTGTGGTTTGCATTTCCTTATCTTATGCCCCTGTACCTTACTGATTAATCTCCTCACCTTGCCATCTGGCTTTATTTTTAATTATCTTTTTCTTACTTGGTCTGGATCTCAATATCTGGGCGCAGACATTTTGTTCTCCTCTGTCCGTGATGTCTGCAGTTTGCCCCTCTGTCGGATTCATTTTATTGATGGATTGTGGATACACTTAATTAGCAACTGAAACAGAGTCTTGCTTTTAGTTCTGTGCAATGACAGGTTTTGCAACTTGACCGCTGTACGTAAGGAAAACGTAGTCCCTAAATTTCCTTATGTATAGTATGACATCTACAGCACTCAAAATTCATACACAGGGAACTATGCAGAAGCAGATTAGATAAAGTTTATTTTTAGAGACAGGGAAGATGTAAGCATTCATGTAAACATAAAGGAGAAAGTAGCCAACATTAAAGCAGATTCGGGCTTTGCTGCGTTTTATAACGCTGGCTTCCACTCACACAGTATAGATGATTATTTCCAACTTATACATCAATGTCTGTGCGATGAGGGAGATTGACTTCCACAACTTGTATCTGGCTGGGAAATGGACCTGGGCATTTCCTCTTTTGAGTGTGAGACATTTTAAGACGGCTGTGATTCCTATGGCAGCCCACTGACTTTCTTGAGATATATTTTAACGGCTTGTTTCATTTCTGATGGAAACTAAAAGTTATGTTTTACACTGAATATATTGTGTTTTAGGGATATATTATTATGTATTTCCCGTTTGTGTACATATAAGTGTATTCTCGTCTACAAAATCAAGCTCCCTGCAAGGATAACCACTATTATAATTGTCCTATAGCTTACTAACATCGCCTCGCCATTACACTGCGGGTAACACTGAGGTGTCTGTGACTTAATGTGGCCCATGTTATCTCCCATCATTGCTCTGAAATCTCTTTGCATTATTACAGTCATGCTGAGACTTGTCAGCCCATCTGGAGGGCATCACCGCAGAGGGTTGTATGTGACAGACACCACAAGAAATGCTAAACCATTGCTATTATATATTTGTTTTATGCAGAACTTTTTTCTCAAGCTTGGTTTAAAACAAAATATGAGACGTCTGTTGCAGTGACCATTAACCCCTTCAAGACAAAGCTCAGGCAAATCCCATTTACTGTGCCAGTCTTTTGGTCATTTTGTCTGCTCTAAAAGGGTTAAAATGCCTATGGTTTAAATCAGAACTAAATTGTAAAACTTGCTACGATTCTAATCCAGAAAAAGACTTTCAGTATTTTTAAATCAGCATTGTATTTCATGCAATTGAAAAAATAAATAAAATAAAAATACAAAACGTTTTCTACTTTTATATCTGTTTAAGCAAGCTTCTTGACGGTTTAAGAGACAACCCCATTAGGTAAACAGTTGAAAAGCACAGCGGCAATTGATGGTGAAGTACAAGCAATATATAGAAGATCTTAACATGCTTCTGGAGTGAAGTGCTTTGCCGTATGTATGCAATGCACTTAAAAGGTTATGTGAGGACTCGGAAACGCTGACCTGAATAAGCAGAGGAAATACATACGTTAACAAGGATTCACTTATCTGAGAGGATTTCTTTCCTTCTTATTTTTTTTTCAGTAAACGCAAGTGGAAATACATTAACCCTGGCTCTGCCAGAGTGATCTCAACACATGAATCGTAAAAAAGGATGCAAGCGTCATAGGCCCACAGAGGAGGTTAATAAAAATGCACATGCATTCAGCCACACTTCACTACCGGCCTTTGATCATCACTTCTACTGACAGAATTAAATAACGTGTGTGTAACTTTCAGCAAAGTGAAAGGCATTACTTAAAGATTAGCAGTGGTCTGGAGCACAGGATCCTCAAATATTAACAACACATCTTGCAATATAAACTGGGATGCCATCTCTTGCGAGAGCGGGCTGGTAAAGACAAGAGGAGTCTTTGACTGCTGTGAACTACATATCCCATCATCCTCAGCTTGTCCCTGCAATCCACAACAAAACCATGAAACGGTACCTAACCCCTTCTGCCTTCCTTTAAATGTCCTGCGGGTGTCTGCCTATTGTGACTTGTTCAGTGTTTTTGTTTAATTTGCACAATAAAACTTTTTATATAAGAATAGCGATAACACTGGCAAAACACATACATATATATTAAAAATTATAAAACAAAAAATACATCTAACATCCCAAAGGAACAATATAAACATCCCAAAGGAACCAGGACATTTTGTACAAGCTTGGCTTTACCTTTGGGATGGTAGGCACTGTGGATTGTAACCAACGAGACACTACACTTCTTGAATTGCTTTAGAAGGTGGCTAGGAAAGCCATCAATGGTTGTAGAGAGCACAGAGGACCAAAGGGTTTAGCTCCAATGAAACACATGGGTCAGTAAATGCTGGCTATTACCCCAAAATTGGTCCACAACAAGACAATCCCACCACATGTAATCTTAGAGCAACATGATCATCAACATTATTTACGTAGGAGACCGAACCATGCAAAAAAGTTTTACTGGGGTGGTTTACCATTTCATCAACATTTTGAACATGTGTTCCTGCAGACCCTGTAGTCGCTTCCAAGATATCTTCCCACATGCCTCTCCCTGGGGTTCATTCAAATCTCGCTCCCAATGTATACAATATGTTCCGTGGCCAAATACACAGGGATTTCAGCGAAGTGCATAATACAGCACATTGAGTAACCCCTTCCATAACTCCTTTTGATCTACACAGTTTCTTAGCTAGCTTTTCTCTCATTTGTATGTGAAAAAACGATTTAAATATTGTTTAATGTAGAAGCTTTTAATAGAGGTTACATGTCTGATCATTGGTTATATAATTAGTAGGCCAGGCATGTAAATCTCCACATTTCGTATGGCTCAGATTATATGTAACTGCAAATCCTATACTTTGTTACTAAAACACATATATTAAAGCTGTAAGTGAAAGGGCCATGCATCACTGTAGCAAATTTAGAAAGGTATTAATCTGTACTATATTTTACCAAGAACAGGAATATAAGGGAATCATTATTCTTCGAAATAAATCACTGTAGAAGTAGGTAAACAACAACAAAAAATCACTAAAATAATAACCAAAGAAAAATCGACTATACTTGATGAAACTAAAACCAGAGAATATCTAACTACTTATTATTTCTGGTTTTGTACATTAACTATTTTATTACATTCAAACAAGAAATGGCTTGAGGATTGTATGTTACAATTTCCCAGTTACAAATGAGAATTATGTTTTCGTTTTCTTTTTGTTTTTTGTAGATGTGTAGATATAAAGTTGCCGTTTGTCACAGCAGATTTAAGCTCCTGACAAAAATACATGATTCTGGACAAGATGACTGGGTGCACGTTTGAATCTTTGGTTTCCTTACATCTAAAATGGGCATCAGAACCAGAAAAAAGACAAAAGAAATTCACAATATTCAAATGAGGGAATAATAAAACTCTTGAAAGCCAAGGAGAATTTTATGAACATAACTATGCACTGTACATGAAAGCAGCTTTTAATCGCAGTTTAATTCCCGGGACAGAACCATTTTCATATTCTCAAAAAGCCTACCATTGAAAGGGCAAAACACGAGAACTTTAAAAAAATAAAAAGCTTTTCTGTGAGCAGAAAATAAAATGAATAAATAAATAATGGTGTTTTTACTATTTGGCTGTAAGTTGGTTTTATAGTCCCTGGTAGGTACCTAAAGCAGGATTTGGGGGCAGAACCAACCCTCACAAATCGAGTCCCAATTTCTGTATCACATCCTCAATTGTAAAACATTAAAGGACCACTATAGTGCCAGGAAAACAAACTCATTTTCCTGGCACTATAATGCCCTGAGGGTGCCCCACCCTCAGGGTCCCACTCCCGCCGGGCTGAAGGGGGAGGAAGAGGGTTAAACACTCACCTTTCTCCAGCGCCGGGCTCCCTCGGCGCTGGGGACTCTCCTCCTCCTTCGGTCGTCATTGGCTGAATGCGCATGCGCGGCAAGAGCCGCACGCTCATTCAGCCAGTCCATAGGAAAGCATTCTCAATGCTTTCCTATGGACGCTGACATCTTCTCACTGTGAAAATTACAGTGGGAAGCGTGGAAGCGCCTCTAGCGGCTGTCAATGAGACAGCCACTAGAGGCTGGATTAACCCATATGTAAACATAGCAGTTTCTCTGAAACTGCTATGTTTACAGCTGCAGGGTTAATCCTAGAGGGATCTGGCACCCAGACCACTTCATTGAGCTGAAGTGGTCTGGGTGCCTATAGTGGTCCTTTAATGACCAAAATGAGCTTCCAGTATGTATAAATCGTAATTGGAAAACCTCTAACAAATAATATAGAATATTCTATTATAATATATGGAATACATGGGCGTCATTCCGACAAGGTCACCATATAGACATAGTCATCACACCAAATACATTATAAAGACAATGACTCTTTAAGTAAATGGCCATCTATGTTTTTAGAAAGTATGAATATGTTGAGATTCCTTGTTATTAAGTCCTTTTTAAACATATCTCCATACTTACGTATAAATAAAAGGGGACCTATAGGTCAAAAAATAACAATTGTGGGACTTTCTCTCCACCCAGTTTGCTGATAAAAAAACGTTATGAATTTTTTAATGAAGAATATTCACCTCTTTTCCAGCCCCAGCACTCCCTGCTTCAGCTCCTCCTCCAGTGATGTCAGAATCCAAGCTGACATCACTTGCGATCTCCTCCAATCCATTGCTTCTCAAAGAGAAGCATTAGATAGGAACTAGGCATGCGCGGCTAAACGCTGCACTTATCCAATCAACTGCTGCTATCAGCATATCTGG